TTGGAGGGATATGGTGTGTGTGGGGGGGGGGGAAGGGCTGTGAAATTGATATCAAAAGATTTATTGGATGGAACTTGGATAGTAAGAAAGTAACAGTAGAAAGGGTAGGAAATGTATAGAGTAAGCTTCACTAATTGCAAAATGATCTAGCAAATTTGCAATATTAAGTTGTGGACATGTAGCCAAAACCTTTTTTTTTCTCTGAACATGAGCAAGTAAAACTTTGGGAGTGGATTGAAGAAAGGAACTGCAGGGTTTTGTCTACCCTTAAAGAAAAAGAATCTCTCATTGGTGCTGACGGTGACTGTATTAGTGGATAAACTGTTATATAATGCCTAGAGCAGCTCTAGACAACACAGTGGTAAAAATGCCAGCAGCTAGTAGTCTACACTAATGTTCCTTCTATTGTTTTAATGAAGCTGCAGTACACCAGTGTGGCGCTACAGCAACATTGGGACATTTCCAGAAAGAACTGGGTATAGACAACCAAGCCTAGATGCATTGATGACAGTGTCTACTGTTGTAAAGGATCAGTGTTTTAAAGATGTCTTTCCATTGGAGCTTTGCCTGCACTAACAAGTTAATCCACCTCCTAGCTACAAGTACAGCTGAACTGGTGTTGAAGACAGTCAGTGTTGAGAACGATTCTTTCTGGAATGTGTCTGAAAGTTGTTTTGGTCCTCTCCCTGCTTACATTTTTGGGATGAAAGGAACTATAAAAATGACTAATGTTCCCTCTTTCCTAGATGTATTTTGTTGTTTGTGTGTGTGTGTGGGCATAGACTGTCTCTCATTCTACATTTTGTATGGTACCAAGCACAGAGGCTCTCCCATCTTGGTGTTCTATAGGTGGTACTATAATAAAAATAATCATTTTGGAGGTCAGGAGGGAAGTTGCATTCCACCACACTGGGTTATACCATGTTCATATTTAGAAAGGTCATAATGGACCACTTGAACTAAAATGATTATGAAAAGCTTTATGCCAAACTTTATATAGGGGAAAGCATTTTATGATATTAGCAGACATCTTGGATTTCATAATTTTTAACTTTTTAAAATTTTCTTGGAAACTATTTTGATAGTATTTTTTTCCAGTGTGTTGCATAAACATCTGTAGTCTTAGTAGCAGCAGTTCCCTACTATGAGACATGTTGATCACCTTTCAGAACTCTGCTTGTAGTTGCCCAATATGTAACTCACTTTTGTTTGGTAGAACAATCCTGTGAAATTCAAAGGCTTCCTTAGGATAGTTCACTTCCAGGTGCATTTAACTGCATGGTAGTAATTGTAATATTTCCATTGGCATACGTAGCAGCTTCAGCCAGAAAGAAAGAAATCACATTGAATATTGCTATATAAACTAAATACATGCTGGTTTCATGAAACTATAGATTTCCATCATTCTGTTTACTCATATGGTGAGAGTGGTTTCTAAAGGCCAAAGTTCAGGTAGCTATGTCTTGCTTTGTTCATAGCATTAGGTTCTCAACTAGAGTGTACAAGACTTAAAAGTAAAGAATACAATTTTGATGTCATTGTCTGTTACAAGTTTACTATTATCCATTTTTAAGTGGAAGTTTTCCATTAGGATTAGCAATAGTAGCAGTTAATTTAATATTCAGTGAGATGTTCCATCTTTCTCACCAACCATATTCTAACTTACTATTTAAAGTAAAGCATAGTTCTTTATAAGATAGTTCTTCAACTTGAGGTGCATTTAGCTGGTCCTGTACTTTTATGCATGAAATAATATGCACACTATCAGGATCTATAATTTTCTTATTTATGTGGATAGCAGTTCCCTGTTCCAGTTTCTTTGTCAGTCGTTGATAATGTAGCAATGAACTTTTGCTAGAGTATCTAAAGACTTGACTTACTGTTCAATGTAATAATGACAGTTCAAGGTGAATGGTCCCCTAGAATATATCTGTTCAACCTTGTATTTAGCGTTGGCACTCTGTGGTACCTTGGAACAGCTCTTTGTAGCTCAAAAGCTTGTTTGTCTAACCAGCAGAAGTTGTTGGTCCAATAAAAGATTACCTCACCCATCTTGTGTCTCTAATATCCTGGGACCAACACAGCTACAACAACATTGCATACTCTCTTGAAGGTGTCGCTTAGTTGCAAATATCCTAGATTTTTCTTGCTACAGTTTGTACACTTACTGTTTATATGCTAAATCTTTTACTTATATTACTAGTAAATTGGCAGTTGCATGTCAGAGTGAATTTTAAAAATTTTCCTGATGTTTAAAGTGAACTCCACTTCTGTTGACAAGGTTACACAAAAATGCTTTAAGTTTAAAACTAGCACCTTTACTTGGCTGGAAGAAAAGTGATATGAATTTAACAAAGTTCTGATAGGTTTTGAACTATGTATTAAACATGTGCAATAGTGAACTTTGTAATATTTATATTTATGTATTCAGAGAGATGTTCCTAGCTAAGATTTTTTTCCCCTTGAAAAGACCAAAAAAATTAATTGGAAAAACTATACTATTGCAATGTTGGTTACATAGTTCAGCATTTTTAAGTAATGAATTACGTAAGTGTAAATTGAAACAACTCTGCTTCCTTGTGAGATATGCATTACAGTAATCTGTGATCATGTAGTTAGACTCTAGATTCACATTTATATTATTTCAGAAATAGCTTGTAATCATAACTAGTGTAATGTATGTGTGCAAAAAATTGAGGATGCACATTGTATTTTAACTCTAGCATTTCTTGACTTGAGTCCCTATCTGTATAAGTTTTGACATATCTTAGGTTTTACGATTATTAACTTATTTTTGCATGGTTAAGTGCTACTCTGATTATATATAATTCAGTAGTTAAAATCAAATCCAGCAAATTTATACCATATTTTTATTTGCCACTCTTTTCCTGCCTCAGAGTTAGAACAATCCTTTCCCCAGGCAGTTGCAGCATCCAGGCTACAACAGGTTTCTAACTGAAGCTTTCAAGACTGGGACAGTCTTTATAGCACTTTAGATTTTCCTTTAATAGGCTCTGCGCCAATCAGTTACCTCTACCTTTAGCAGCCACCATTAGTTCAAGAACTCCTCCTCTATCAGTATAGATCACCCCCTTTTAACTAACATGTAATAAGGCACCAACCCTATAGAATACAATCTGAAGTTGGATTCTGCCTTTCCATTTATCTTGGAAATTAATACCAATTATTCTTTTAGCCTTGCACCAACAAACTCGCTCAGCTCCCATGTCTCCTTACTCTCAAATGAAGGACCATTCCTTCACTGTATATAAAACTACTTGCTGGATTCTTCACATGGTATCTAGCTTCCTAATGTTGCTGATGTCCTAACTCCTTTTTCCCTTCAGCATAGTATGCACAATGCTACAAAAATATGTCTTAATAAATTTACATTTTAATTGTATTTAGTACTAATCTTGTGTCTACTTTACAATTCCTGTTTTTAAATGCATTATCTGACCATATAATTTTCAATAAAGTCTTTGCCTGATTGTTTTGCAGCAGGTCTTTCCAAAGTAACTATCATACACTCCGTGGCTAGCAAGGATAATACTAACTTTTTCTCAAGAAAACTTTTGAATCTGTGACCATTCTGGTACTTGGAAATACTGCCTCATCTTTATAATGAAGCTGGAGAAATGTACAGAGGCACCCCAAAGAAAACTGGACTTTTTTTATAGACTAAAAACATTGTGGTAGAAGAATTAATCAGGACAGATCTAAGAGTATCCCCAGTATACTATTTCATCTTATATAATTACATGTGAAAGGAAACAACATAAACTTTTATGTTGCCTGCTGGTTGGGGAGACGGGGATGAACCTAGGTTTTTAAAGGGTCTGGTATTTTTACACCTGTGGATGGTTCACTGCTGCTTTGCAGCTAGCATTAAAGAGCTTCTCCTACAAAGCCAGCTGTTAAGAGACCAACTAATTCTAAATCAGGTATCATTGTTTTACCTAAATCCCTTAAAAAAGTGATACCATAAAATGATTAGTACTATGACTCTGTTACAACAAACTTTTTGCTTTGTCTTTGGCCTGGTCTACACTAGGACTTTAATTCGGATTTAGCAGCGTTAATCCGAATTAACCCTTCACCCGTCCACACTACAGAGCCAGTTAATTCGAATTAAAGGGCCCTTTAAATCGATTTCTGTACTCCACCTCGACGAACGGAGTAGAGCCTAAATCGATTTTGTTAATTCGAATTAGGGTTAGTGTGGACGCACACCACCGAATTACTGTGTTTAAGTTAATGGGGTAGTGTGGCCGCACACCACCGAATTAATGTGGTTAAAAACCGAATTAAGGTGCTTAGTGTGGCCGCGCACAATCGAATTTATACAACCTGTTTCCCAAATTCGAATTATCTAAATTCGGATTAATCCTGTAGTGTAGACATACCCTTTGACTTGACCCCCTGTTGTGGATCTCCTTTATTATTTTAATGAATTATTATGCAATTACGTAATCTTGCTATCCATCCGTTTTAAGTTCTCTCTTTTTCTCTCTCTCTCTAAAAACAAACTACCATGTGTGTGAAATATAAATAAAATAGATACATGGGGCAGTTAATTTCATTTTTGTGTGTTCTGGAGCCTGGGATGATAGAAGGCTAAAATGTGTCACCTGTTCCTTCCTCCCACAGTAGCTCTTCTTGTGGACTAGCAGGAACAGCAGACTGAAACCAAGGCTGTCAGTTTGACTGATGCTGCTTGCACTGGCAACCTTTGCAAGTGCTTTGTGCAGTAACAGGAGAACAACAGATCCAGTGTTTTTCTTCCCAGTTGTGATTCTCTTGCATAAGATTGTGTGTCCCACAAAACATAAATACTTAATAGAGTGTAGAGATGGCAATGTGATATCCCATGATTCATGAGAAATTCAAATCTTCTCTCTACATGTCTTTTTCTGTTTATGAAAATTATCAAGAGAATATACTTCTTACATACTGCAAATTCTTTTAAGGTGTTAGAAAATACCCATTCTTGAAGTACTAACTTTGCACAGTGGCAGTATCATAGCCAATGAGGTTAATCTGAGGCATGATTGCTAGTTGAAAACTTTTCCCAATACCCTGCCATGTTGATTTAAAATATAGTCGACGCTGGCAATTTTTGACAGTCTCATGTGAGGGGGCGGGGGAAAAAACCTGTTGGTATTTCTCAAACGAACCAAGTTTTCCAATTATAGTATCCAGTCTAACTCTCATTGACTTTGGGAGTGGGACAGGGGCTGGACTATGGACGCACAGTTGGAAGATAGTTTTAAAAATTACAAAGAAATTTAAAACACAAACATAACCACATTCTTCTTATTTAAATTACACCCAAATTACACAAACAAAAGAACTTGTGTATGAAATTGCTGAACATACTGTGTGTGTCACAAATGTACTCTTCTTGTGCCAACCATACAAGATGGAACTTTATGGTTCATTGATTTAAAGGTTATGTGCATTTTAAAATACCATGACAAGGTTATGGGGGTGGAGGAAGGGATTTAGAAGTTAAGAGGCTAGATAGACATCCAAAATATTGAAAATATTAACATTAAAAAGACCCAAAAATGCACCCACAAGCAAGCAAACAATAATACCACAAGAAAAAGAATAGTTACTTATGAAGTACTAAAATTTAATCAGGAGGTAGAAAAGCTTCCCTGAAAACTCTGTATCTGCTATTATAAAATAAATCAATGATTAGTGAAAAGAATTTTGTTTTCCCATTTACTTTGTGCATTTGACAGCACTCTGTGTACATCCAATTGAACTCTGTTGCGGATACAGTTGCATTATTTGTCCCCAGATCAGTGTGTAAGAGTGATGTGCATACCCTTCTTCAGGCTCAGCAAGGAGGTAGTGTTCACTGCTCATGCTGAAAAGTCAGGGAGAAAAAGTAGAGAGTATGAATCACTGTATGGTAGTGTTGCTTTCTTGCCTGCCTTTACAAATAAGGCAAAGAACAGAAAAAGCCCTTAACTTTTTTTAAAAGTGTGTGTGTGTGTGTGTACGCCTATGTGCGTGCACTCTCTCTCTCTGTGTATGAATATCCCTTTCATACATAAGAAAATTTATTTTAAGTTAGTCAGTATATAAAAATATAGATTAAGCTGGGTCCCTTTCAACTTTAACATGCACACATCTGAAAACGTGCTAATACCAGAAATAAAGCTTTGTTTACTCTAAATGGATGAACTTAATTGAACAGAATAAGTTACATGGTCTACGGTACTGTGTACTATGAGTGATACCATCATGATAGACTGTGGTGCACCATTTCCTCGTTCCTGTATTATGAAGCTATGGCAATTTTATTATTCTACTCTGTTATAACTTATTCCATATTTACCATTTTAATAATTTATTCAGTGAACTTGTATTGTGGGATGGTGTGTAATTTGATACAAATAATCGATAAACAACATATAATTAATAGGACGGACTTGTATTGGGGGGTTATGACAGTGTAAACCACCAGAGTGGAGCTCTTCTACTTTATCAGATGGAATCTTATTAAGCAAATTAATGTTACTATTTTGTGTTTTGGTTTTGAATATTTCTAACAGGGTTTTGGAAAAGCCTTTAGACTAAATTGTGATAGTAATAATTTGATTTGCATTATTGTAGGTATGTTTAATATCACTGGTGATTAGAATATTGAATGGAAACAAATGTTTCAGACATTTCAAATCTAAAACAAATCAACAAATATGAAACAATGTATTGTATAATAATCCTATTGGAGTTCTGGTGACGTGTTCTTTGGGCACCGCTCTTGAGTTAGTGATACTAATACCCTTATTGGGATTACTGTTTTGTAATGGATAGTAACTATATTTTAACCTGTGTTCAGATCTGTCTCTGACTTCCTACCTTCTTTCTTCCTTCCTTCAGTCAATGTTAGGCATGCATTGTGACCAATATCACTGAAGTAAAGAACTGGTTTGAATCTGTTGGTATTGAGCAACTGGGTATTTTGTTTGCTGTTTGTGTATGCTTCAGACACAGTGCCTCTGAATGCTTTGGTCCGTCCCTTTTACATGCTCCAATCTGGGCAAACCTTCTATGAAGTGTGTTTTGGATTTTCTAGGTTAAACGGTGCAATATAAATGAAATACTGGTTTGCGTGGAGTTTTGTATTCGTTTTAGTTTGTTCTGCAAACATTAAGTTGGATTTTTCATAAGTTTTTTTGAAATTATTTTTAATGTATTTATATACAAAATCTGCAGCCTTACCAACTTTGGCTGTGATCCAAAAGCTATAAACTGGAGTAGGCATAATAAGTATTTGGAATGCAAAACTCCAGTGAAAACATCATTGCACAGAAAGTGATGTTCATGATTTAATAGGTGGTGCTCTTGCTTTTTTGGAGTACATACTAGACCAGTAAACTAACATAATGTAGGGAGGTGTAAAATTAAGGTTCTGACCTTGTTTTTTAAAGAGCCTAGGATGTCTTTGGCAAGATCCCTGGCATTAACCCCTGTTTCCTAACTAAATTTAAGCAATAATATTTTCTCTCTAAATTTTCTTTGAAGTTTTAATTGATTACAGTTGTCTCAACTTCCCATCCAAAACTAACAGTGCACAGCAGTGCTACACAATAAACAGCTACCATATTCCATTTCAGAAATGGCTGATTTTAGTGGTGAGTGAATTGATTTTTATAGTTTTGTTTAGCATTTAAAAAAAAAAAAACAACCAAGGTTCTCTTAACTGTGTGTCAAACTTTGGTTTTAAAAATCAGTTTGAGTTTATGAATGTAGAAAGGTGCCTGAAATTGATATAAACTTGTGTACGTTCACTTACATCTAAATGTAAAGTGCTGTTGCTGAAATTTGAGTTTAAAGTGGCATTTAATGTTTTAGCTGTGGTGAGTTAGATTCCAGTTCAATGGGAATCTTAATGATGGAGATCTAAATCCCTGAAAATAAATAGCTGAAGAGGTGCTTACACAGCCTTCATTAAAACAGCACAAATGAATTTCTGTAGTGTCAATCAAATGGAATACATAGATTAATTACTTTGATTGTTGCATACTACTGTCACACTATTTTTCACTCTTGTTGTATCCTGTAATGTTTGGTCATAATACCAGATTGTCTTGTCCTAATTCGCGCTGAGAGAAAAGTCTACCTGTCAAAGAAGGCAGATATCTAATTGAAAAGTGGAGCCATGCTGAACAGCTTTAGATGCTGAATCTCCCTGATAAATAGGGTAACAAAACCTTTCATCACACTTGAGAGGAAACAAGTTAAAATTTTATTTTTCAGGTCCTTGAAGAGCAGTCCTCTTAAAAAAAACTCCCTCTGCTAGAAGGCCAAGTCTCCCCCCCTCTCCCCCCCGCCTTAATTCTGGTAGTAACACCCACTAGTCATCCATCTATATTGGAGTGAATAGTGCTTGACTTTGGGAATGACGTTCTTCCTTATTACATTCTAAAGGTTTTTCACATGCCTCTTTAATATGCTCTGGGGAAGTTTGTGTGTCTGTACTTGATTTGCAAATATGGGTGAAGCAATTTCCACTCTCCAACCCTGATTAATGTTGGGTGTGATATCCTCAATAGAGCACATGCTGAGGCATATCACAGTGGAGTTGGCAATCACTTTGAGGAGGATTTGCTATCAAGGACTTACATTTGAAAGTTAAAGCATTTTAGCACAGCCATAATTTTACTACATTTTGGGGGGGGGGGGGGGTTGGGCATCCAGCACATAACTCTAAAGTAAATATGTGCTTATATATTTTGCTGTGGGAAAAGCCCAACTTAGGATTCCCAATCAGTATAGGTGTAGAGCAGACAATTACAAATACTTTTTTTACATTTTAATACAAAACATTTGCAAAGTAGTGTCACCTTAATTTACATAAGTCCTTAGTTTAAGGTTTTGTTTCTTCCGCTAAAATTCACTTCACAACAATCTAGAACAATGCAAAGACATGGCTGTGATGTCATCAGCTGTTGCAGATGACCCATAGTTTCCTGATCTGAAGGTCTGGTAGGTAAGTAAAGGTGATACTGAAATTGAAAGGACCCTGTTAATTTAAACATTATTTTTAAACCCCAGTTCCATGTGCATTCTACCAGTATTTGTAAGTCGTTATTCAGTTTAAAATATTTATATTTTGCCAAGCAAATATCTTGAACTATGAAGACCTTTACAAATGACAGCTTGAGAGTATGCATGTAGAACATAGTCATCCTTTGATTACTGTCAAATGTAAGACTTCCCCAGAAAGTCAAAAAATGCTGCCTGTGGGGTAGCCATGGAAGACAGAGGTTCAGGGCTTGAAACCTTGTTGTCTGTGAGGGTAGGTGAAGAGTAGTTGGTCCTAGAACTCCCTTTTGTAATGGTTTAGGGAACACAGAAGAGAGAACTCATGGTAAGCTGTTGGATTCGCCTAAAAATAACCTGTTTGAAGACACCCATTCAAATGCTGTTTGACAGAGATATGTAATAAAGAACAATCAACTTTTTGGGGGGAGAGGGTGTCTCTCCGCCTGTCAGGGAGAATGCGGTAAGGGGTCCACTCCCCTAGCTCTGCACCCTTCCCTTACTGCTCTTGTGGCAAAATCTCTCCATGTCTTTGTTTTCAGAGAACCCAGCTCATATGGGATTCCACTCCAAAGTAGTAGTGGTTCATCACTCCAGGGTACCTTTTTGGCTGGAGGCTGGTTACCAAATTAAGGGAAGCTCTTAGCTTTAGTAGTGGTCACTAGGATATTTACTTCTAGAGGCTGGAGTCATGGGACCTTTCCTCAGGGGCCCTGTCAAATTGGCCCTTCCCGCCTGGAGAAGCCTTGAACCTCAGGTTTTGTTGTGTGGGGAATTGTAGGGGAAGAGAGTCTATGGCTTTACTGGGGGCCAGCTCAGGAATTTTTTCAACTACCCTCCGTATAGATGGAGTGGTACTCTTTTGTCTGTGAAGGATCTGGCCATCCAGAGCTCCTCCGATCTGTCTCCTCTGGATCTGTCATCATTACAGACCGTGATGCTTGAAATGTCTGAAAAAGCAGCCAAGGATGTTGCTCCCGTCTTTGAGCAGGAGTATTTTGAAATGGACTATGAACCTGATTTAGCATTGGATGAACACATGGGGTGACCCTCTGCCATCTTTCCTTCTGAAGAT